ACTCTTGTAAACAAGTTCATATGAATGGAGAATTATATACGAAGGGTTGTGAGTCGTCCACATTATATTTCCATAAATAGATCCCTCAAGTATACATGGGAGCAAATTGCTCTGTATAAATTCCAAAGGAAAATGAGTCATGAAGTGTAGAAAATCCTTGAATGATTCAAATTGCTTGAAGTAAGCCCAGGAAGGGTAAAGCATAAAATATGTACTCAATACCAATGGATGGGATAAATTGCCTTAGTGAGTACTATCATTATGATATTGTTGCAATATACTAAAATCTCTTGCAAGAAGTTGATGATATTAAATTAGAACTCCTGAAGAAACTCTCGAAGAGTTTAGAAAGAATATAAAGTGTTGAGAGAAATATTGTCTCGAACTGCAGATCGAACAATATGCCAACACAAATCTCATCCATAATGTTTATGATATTAAAGAATCATATGGATTGAAGATTATGAGTTAAATACTCAAATAATGTCGACACTAAGAATGATCATTTATCTTCGTGAGGGTAAAGATAAATTAATATTTGGTCCAGAAGTACCACATCTTAGTGAAGTATATGCTTTATTGTATTTAGCACAATACATTGAATGAAATAAAGCTTATCTATTAATATCTCCGAGAAATTACAGATATGTACATACACATAAGTTAAAACAAACAAACAGGATGGAGTCTTTACAAAGGTTGCTCATGTGAAGCCTCAGTACTTGGAAATACCCCAGAAGGGGGAGGCACTGGAGATTGATTATGTGGCACCCCAGTACTTGGCAAAACACCAGAAGCGGAAGACATCAGTTGCTTTCAGAATCTAGCAACGAACCTTTAGTGATTAGTTTGAATCCGACTTTCGGATTCCTGCAGCTGGTTGAGCTTTCTTTTCATGCTTGTCGAGTAATTATTTGCAAGCACGTGTAACACTCTATTCTCGTGCTTGAGCCCTCTGATCTCTTGTTTAAGACTTGCCACCTTAGCCATCAATGATTCAACTTGGCGAGTTTGAGCAAGTAGGCATTGGCCCATATTGGATACAGAGCCTGCACATTGAACATTGAGAGCCAATGAGTCTTGAACGGCCGACTCATCAGACCGTTTGGAAAGGACCATGTTATCCTTTGGAGTGAGAAAATTCCTAACTACCACAGTAGCGGTTATGTTATTCTTCATCACAGAGTCCCCAACCGTAAGAGGACCATTAGAAGATAAGAAGGACAAGCGCCATATATTATCCTGATGCTGCTCGTCTATGTCACTCATAAGACTCAAATCTAAGTAAATGTTAGATGGGCAAGTCATTTTCAGAAATGATGAAGGAAAAAGGAGGTCAAGTAAAATTTCAGAAGTGCAAGAAAGAGGAAATTTCTACAGGCAGCAACTTTCTGGGCACACTCTTAAACACAATTGATGTCTCTATAAAAGAAGAGGTAACAAAGCCACTCGTTCAGAGATCGAAGAGGCATTGCTCTCAAAATTTCAAAAGCCATATTTTCTTGAATAAAGTTCGTGCATTTTTCAGATGCAATCTCAGCTTTTTTGGATATCGCGTGCAACTTTGTCAAAGATCTCTGACAAAGTTGAAAACGCGTAAATCTTACTGTTCTAATTACACCACAGTTGTTGACAAGAGTAAAGGCACATCACCACTACCTGCTATTGAAAAATCTCTATATATGTCAATCTCCGTTCTCCATAACAAGGCAGACCTGCAAGAATACCTAACTCTTCCTCATCTCCAAGAATGCATCTTCAACAAAGCATCTCGAAATACTCAGTTTTCTTCCTCTCCTAGAATACCTTTTCAAAACAAGTCACACCAGAGCAAGAGTATCTCATATCTTCAGGGATGACAGCAAGAGTATCTCATATCATGCAATCTCCATGTCATTTCCCTTGTCCTTGTTCTTACCTGCAAAGACAAGGATAAAGAAAGCAATATGTCGGAACCTCCACTCAAACTCTCGGTAAGGAACCGACTGCCTGGAACCTTTCCTGATTGCTTACATAGTATTGCTCTCGAGTAGGCATCTTCAACTGTTGTTGGAGCTGGGCCTCTAGTTACCAAGAAGTGATGAACCATCCAAATGCAAGGGTTGCATTCCACTCCTGCATCAGAGGGCAAATACTGCAGGAGAATATGCCACACATGCATGGGGGGAAACCAGGGAAAATATTACTTAAGCAAGGGGAGCAAGTAAGGCAAGAGAAAATGATACATTGAAGCATGTGGAGACAAGCGCATCAAACACGTGCTTATTCATCCCCGACAAAACCGAAGATCACTTGCCACGTGAAGCTCCTCATGATCCAATTTCATTCAAGATCAAACCTCGAGGCCCTTGAGGAAATCACAAGTCCGATTTAAGATCAAGTGTCCACCACCCTTGAATCAAATTCCGCTCCAGATAAAAGGAGTAAATTCAGACCTTTGGGGTAAGTCTAGCAGAAAGCCTTCTAACCCAATTCAAGAACAAGCCTGTGGAAAGTTAACAACAAGTAAAACATCTCTTTCGGCAACTCTTCTCACTAAGAGACTGAAGTAGAATGATCAACAATCAGCCTAAATGATTTGAAATCAGGGGGAGATATTCTTCAGGGGGAGCATCCAAGACAGATCAAGATTTTAACGAGTCAATCGAAGACTTGTGGCCATCCAAGGGGGATTGTTGTAAATATGGTGGATGTCCACGCTAGCCACTAATCCACTAAGCTACAAGTGGGAATAAAGGTTGTCTTTCGCTGTTTGCCAAAGCTTACTCCCTACGACTCATGTTTTCTATATAAATGCAACACACACCAAACATAGGTGAGTGACTCACGGTAGAGAGAGAGGAAACAAGAGGAAGAGAGACAAAGAGAGGAGATAATAGAGAGAGTCATATTTGTACTCCTATTATTCCAAATTATAATGAAAGCACCATTGCTGCCCCGAGGACGTACTCCAGTCACACCGACTGTAGAGGAACCTCATAAATTTTGTGTCTTGTTTCTTTTATTCCACTACACACATTGTCGATTTTACAACAAAAAATGCTTAATTTGTTTCATTGGCAAACAAGAAAAGGATAAAACGCAAATAGAATCGTGGCTGATTGTCTAGCTTTCTTTAACCTACAAAGACGTGACCTAAATCAAATTGATATAGGGGTGTGCTATCTGCACATTCATTTCTGCTTCTCACACATTTGTTGTTAATTTATGTACTTTGGTATTCTTTCAATTCATTCGATCAGAGGATTGAAAATTAAAAATGTGTATGAGAAAAAAGTATGTAGATATCACACCCCTTGATATATTATGGATTTTAGGTTATGAACAATTAGCTTAACAAACTACATCAACTAGCTAAATTACATTGACTTTGACTTGTACGCGTCAAATTTTGAGATGCAAGATTTTCAAGTAAGGAGGCTGGATTGCAAGTTTTCCTTTCATTGACTTTGACACTAGACATTTATTCTCAGCTTTGGCCGCTAATTTTGTGGATTCAAGAATGCAGAACGTAATTTCATGATCAATGAGTAGCTAGGGGGAAGCAACATGTATCTAAATCACAAAATAGGGAAAGAGAACAACATGGAGTCCTCTACATTACTATCACAACAGTTCTTAACTTCCACATTCATCAACTCACAATAATCTTTTCAAGAGCATCATCAATAGGAGTGCAAAAATGCTTTGGATTGTGGATTTTTACTTCTTTTTTTTGTTGGAAATTTATCTAGTGGATGAGATGTAAAATATCCATGTTGGCTAGAAAATACACATAAAAATGTAAATTTGCATATTGTTTTTTACATCTTTTAGAGATGGACCTTGCCAAGCAAATAGAGAATACTAATTGAGATTTCAATAATTACATCTCTCTCATTAGAGTGGGAGAAATTTTTCAGTGTGTCTGGAACACTACCCGATACATAAAGTGTAATAAACAATTGGTTGAAAATTAAAAAAAAAAATTCAATCAATTGTATTATGACACTTAGTTTACTAGGTCATATTCCTGGAAAACTGAAAAGCTTCTTTAAAATATAACACACATTTTCATTTCCAAAGACAGAGAGTGTAAGATGAGATGTAAATATAATTTTTATATCTCAAGTTTGCAACTCTTCATTGAAGATACTGCCTTAACATTAATCATGAACGAACTCTTTAGATGCCAACATATATTTTTATTAACTTCTTGTTGAGAGTACAAATCCCACATTAAGAAAACGATAGATCTTGCATATGCTTATAAAAGGTGGGACTACTCTCCATTGCCAATTAACCTCAACTTTCTTCATGGTTTCAGAGTAGGTTGACCCAAATGTGAAACTTAATGGTTACACGTACTCCATGTCACCCAATTTGTATTATCCATGTATTTGGTTTGAGAATTCGTCATGTGAGGGAGGCGTGTGAGGATGTGAAAGTTAGAGTCTCACATCGGAGAAGGAGAAACCTTGCCATTAATCATAAGTAAGTTGGCAATCGGTTTTATGGTGGAATCTCTTCTTCGTGGTATCTGAGCAAGTTGTCCTGTGTGTGAAGCTCACCAACTATACGTGCTTCACTTCATCCAATTTGTGTTGTTCACGTGTTAGACTTACAAATTCACCACACGTGAGATGACGTGTTGAGAGCATCAATCCTACATCAGAAAAAAGAGGACCTTGCATGTACTTATAAAGAGTTTGGCAAGTCTCATATTACCAATTAATTTTATGATGAAAGATCAATTTTTTTTTCACTTCTAATATCATCCTTGAAATTATTGCTGCCATCACTAATTTTTCTTTTGTTGTACACATGATATTTGAGACAATAATTTTGTCTCTGAAACTATTTATGATCTAATTACATTGTAATAATTTTGACGAGTGTGGACAAGACATTAAAAAAATATGAAAACGTCTTATCCGTTAGATAATGAAGCCAAAAATCTTTCTAAATCTGTATAATTGCCAAAGCTTCTGTTCTCAGTTCTGTCATCTTGTTATTATTCAATCAACTTTCCTTGTCTACTTATCTCAGGGATTATTTCCACTTGCTAAAGATTTGATCCCTTGTCAATGATTTTCTATTAAATTGATAATAATTCAAAGTAAAACAGAAACACACATACTTCAATGGCAGCTTTGAGGCTAAGAATTTATATCCTGGTTTTCTGTGCTTGCCTAGTTATTCAGTGCAGCTGCTATTGCCATTCTGTGCTTCAGAAAAAGCATGCAGCCCTATTCATCTTTGGTGATTCACTTTATGATCCTGGAAATAATAACTACATAAACACCACCACTGATTTCCAGGCCAATTGGGTCCCATATGGTGAGACCTTCTTCAAGTATCCAACTGGCAGATTTTGCGATGGACGTTTAATCCCAGATTTTCTTGGTAAGAATCTTAATCGTGCTGTCAATAATTTTTGTTTAATTTTTTCGATACCCCTTCAAACACCTTTCCTGCTAACAATTATACCAGCATATTTAGTACATTTACATTGATGTTGCAGCTCAGTATGCCAAGTTACCGATTATACCAGCATATTTACAACCTGGGTTGAACAACTATACTAATGGGGTGAACTTTGCTTCTGGTGGAGCTGGTGCTCTAGTTGAAAGTCATCAGGGACTTGTATGTGCTCTAGCTTATAAAATGTTTTCCATTATTATTAGGAGTTTTCGTTTTTCCAACGAAACAGAGGACTAGGCGATTATTGATTTTCCGTGTGCGAAAGAAATTCGGGCGGACATTTATCCATTTGGCATGACTTAATTTTGTTTTCCTCATTCTTTCCAGGTGATAGACCTTAAAACTCAAATAAGTCAATTCAGGAAGGTGGAGAAGCAGTTGAGGCACAAACTGGGTGATGCACAAGCCTACACGGTGCTCTCCAAAGCTGTTTACATAATTAGCATTGGAGGCAATGACTATTTGTCTCCATTAGCGTCCAATTTTAGCAATGAAGAATACGTTGGCTTGGTTATTGGCAACCTGACAATTTGGATCAAAGTAACATTTTTTTTCTATGCTTAGTTTCTTCTTTTTCCGATGATTTGCGACAGCTCGTGCCCTTTTCTATTGTTTATGAATTCAGAATAATATTTGGATGAATAACTTGGTATACATTTTGTCAGGAAATATACAAGAAAGGAGGAAGGAAATTTGGATTTTCAACCTTGCTGCCTCTCAGTGAAATACCGAGCCTGAGAGTACATAAACCAGGGGACACAAGCCCCTCAGCGGAAGAAGTTACACCACTAGTGAAACTACACAATAAAGCACTTGGAAAACTCCTCCTAAAGCTGAAGAGAGAGCTCCAAGGACTCAAATACTCAACCATTGATCTCCATACATACCTAAAACAAATTATAAATCGTCCATCAAAATATGGTATATCTAGCTACCTACTGTACCTTCTTTTAGCTTTAGCTTTAGTTTCTCTTATTTGTTTCCTTTTTTTCATAAGCCAATTAAGTTACGTCCTTTCTAATTTTGTTGTAAAGGCTTCGGTGAAGGAAAGACGGCATGTTGTGGCTCTGGTCCATACAGAGCAATTTATTCTTGTGGAGGGAAGAGAGGAGTGACTAAGTATCAGTTGTGTGACAATGTTACTGAATATGTATTTTTCGACTCTTTCCATCCAACCGAAAAGGTTTACCGGAAACTGTCCAAGTTATGGTGGAGGCATAACTTGAAGGATCTATTTGAAGTTTAGACAAAACTAGCTAGTAATGCTCGCGCGTTGTTGCGGGATTACAAATTGCATGAATAATTATGTATCATTCTCTTCAAACAGTTTCTCTAATTATGAGTTTTATTAAGCAAGAAATAAGACTTTTTTCTTGTCACAGAATTAGCATTTTCAATGCATCAAAGCAAGTGGTAATTATTAAAATGAATATGTTAACACATAGCATAAAATCTAATAACCTAAATAATAGTATTTTAATTGACATCAACAATCAGAAACACAATAAAGTTGGGTGATTTAATGGTTACAAACCATGTAAATCACCTAAACATAGAGAAATAAAAAGTAGATAAAAATTAAGGATTGACTTGAGCTTGGAGTTCACAAAATGCTTTTAAGAGCAGTAAATGTTCTGTTGGATCGAGTTCCTTGTAATGAGACTCTTCTCACAAACTGCATAAATAAAATTCTAACTTTCAACCACCCCTAATTTAAAATAATTAAGCTAAGCAAATACACAGTAAGCACTGCACAATCACAGTAATAACAATTTTCTAATAGCATTACATTTATCAATTACTCTGCACAGGAATTTCAAAAATGGATAACTAAGCTGTAATTTAAGATCTTTGAAATTGCAATTTTATAACTCACTAAACCCAAATTACAAACTATGCAGTCAATCTCAATACCCTCCTTATTACACATCGAAAGTTAAAAAACAATATAGTTTCTTTGAGATTTGTAAGTGGAAGTACCTCATTGAAAGCCTTTAGGAAGCACTGCAGCACCTTTTGGAACCTTTGCCTCATTATGGTCTGGAGTGCATAATGCACAAACAGTTTAAGCATTTCCCAGCACCACAGAGCATCATATTTCCTATTATTAATCCACAATGCCCCCTCCAGCTTTGAAATAGCAACTAGGCAAACAAACACAAATATACATTTATAAATTCAAACTCCCAAATAACTAAATGGAAGAAGTCACAAATTTATATTTTCAACTACCAGATAAAACATGGAGAATTCCTACGTCTAAAATAATTAAACAGTTGGTATTTGGCGGTGAAACTTAAAAACCAAAACTGCACTTAATGTCCTAGAGAGAACAAAATTGCAAGCAAAAGTTAGAATATTGAAACAATATCGTGATAGTCATGAAATAAGTTTATCGTTTGCTAATATTGATTATTAGGTTCCAAGTTTGTCTCAATTTATCATTTTCTATTAAGCTGAAAGTCTAAACATTTTGGTACTTACCAAGTAAAAAGCAATTAATTATTTGATGCTACTTACAAAACCTATTGGCATATATAGGCTTTGATTAAAAGGTCAAGTATTTACCAAAAGATTCCAGCTGCAAAATGCATGGACGATTTACAAAGTGTTTGATAAATCCGGAATTTGATTCTTTCTCTTCCTCCGTTTCCTTGCACCCCAAGAAAAGAAAAGCAATTTAGTGCCAAACTTTAAAAAGAACCTGTAAAATCCAGAGCAAGCATTAAAGAAAGTTAACAGTGTAGGACTGTTGACCCTAAAAACTACCAAGCCTACATGGCGCGCAGGCCGAGTAATTAATAAGCTAACTACGTCCTTCGGTGAATGCGGGGCATGCCAACTCGTCGGCCGAGGAGTAAATTTTGTTGATGTTGCGTTGGGTGCGCAACTGACTTCTGCGTCTTGCGATTGCGGCCGAGAAAGGAACACGTCTCGGCCTCTTGGGCTCTCGAACCTGAAGACAAGGTTTCTATTCTTACGAAGTTCAATATCAAATTCGGCTTTCAATGTGCCGAATGTAATAACTGTAACACCTCACTTTGCCGAGAAGGCTGATGAGATGACCTCGACCAATAAGGATTCAGAAACCCTTCTCGACCGAGACTTGGATAGGTAATCAACCGTCCTCGCCGCAGTGCTGTTGATGCCAACGGAAGATGCTGCGAGACCGGCTGTGACTTAAGATATCACCGGTTGCTTCCACAGTGCTGTTGATGCCAACGGAAGATGTGTCAGCGAAAAAGAAAGAAAAAATCTCAAGTTGTTGAGTTTGCGCAGGGCAGTTTTGTATTGATTTGCAGGGGTCCTCTTTTACGCTGCACAACCTCATGTATTTATAGTGAAGGTTAAACCCCACCGCTTGGCGCAGCTTGATACTCATGAAGAGTCCTATTGAATTATATCTTGTGGAATTGCATCCGAACTGTGCGCTGCACTATCCTTTAGCCGAGGATCTCTAAGACAAACTAAAGCATATCCTTCAACATAAGCCATAATACCACCGTGGACTTTTAGCCCATTTAAACCACCACCTTTGCATGTTAATCTCTGACGCATATACCAAAATGTTTATCCATATTTTATATACATAATAATCACTTTGCAGCAGACTAAGCAACCAAATTGATCCCACCCACACATTTATACGCGGATCAACTTGGATTCATACGCCAAACATCCAGATCAACTCGAATTGTGCCACCATATTCCCAGCTTGGAGATACATATATCATCTTTCATAATAAATTATTATTAACAGATAGTTATGATAAAGATCATAACATTATCCTTAAATAATAACAAAATGATCTTTTTACCTTTCCATCTGACGGTTGGGAGCTATGCCTACCTAACGGCCTTGATTGCACGGGCCGATGATGTAAAATCGGGTCCAAACATTGCCCCCCAGTTTCCTTGAACTTCGGCTCGTAAGCCAATTGGTTGAGGAAATTAAGTCTCACTAGTTGATCACAAGCACAGCGGCGCCAAGAAATATATCGAACCGAAATAACCGTCGAATCCCCTATACAATATTCTGAAGTCCGAAATGATTAAATAGCATAGCCCCATAAGAATGACTTTGATATTGTCATAATATGGTGAAATATATCATCACCTCCAAGCATTAGTTCGCCGAGTCTCTAATGCCCTCATTAAAAACAATCCCCCAATATGTATATATACACACATATATAGTTGTGGCCGAGAACCCCCATTTTCTTTATATATATTTGGTGTTGGCCGAAGCATATATATGCAGCTTTGGCCGAGGCTTATATATGCTGAGGCCGAGGCTTTTGTATGGTGGTCGAGCCTGAGGCCTTTGTAGAGTGGCCGAGGCCGAGACCGAAACCGAGAAAAATCCAAGACGTCGGCCTGCCTATATATATAAACCCATTTTACTCGGCCATATAAAGATCATTCCTGGGGCTTGGCTGTAACGTATAAAAACACCACGAAACCACGTGGTCTTGAGCAATCATTCAACTACACCAAACCCTCCATGCACCGACACATATTTGTACGAGGTCAGGACTCAGGATGCTTGCACTTGATTCTGATGTAGCCTGCTAAGAGAACATGGTCATGGCTTCCTTAGACCAAAGAACAACCCATGGTCGAAGAAAAGTGATAAGCAATCACGAACCAAGGTAGAAAAAATAATTTGGGGTCGAGAGTTTGGCCAAACTTTTTTTTTTTTTTTTTTTTATTCGGCCAAACCAATCCCAGGTGCATTGAATGGCTCGACAACCACTCTTTTGGCCGAGACTCTAATTGCAGATGCCATGATTCAACTCCTGCTTTGATGCCAAATTGTAACACTTTGTGCTAGAACAATTCATGCCATGATTAATTTCTGCATGATACGTTATATGCCGAATAAATCTCAAATCTGAACACAAATCGGTCGACACAATACTGCCCCCTTTATTTTTTATGCATCGGCTTAATTAGCCAGATGATTAAGAGAATAATAAATTATTTTTCTTAAAAATCAAATGAAAATGGCCGAACTAATAAAGAGGAGGAGGCCAACGATGCTTTATTCCAAGCCGAGATCTTAGGCCGAATAAAGAATTTTCTCCAAATATTTTTAACTTAATGAAATATTTTTCATTTTCGGCCGCCGAATGTGTTGAACAATTATTATGCCCCCCGGGCATAATTATTTCACCAATTTCGGCTTTTAACTCAAGCAACTTAGCCGAACGGGATTTCTCCATATCGGCTTTATCACCAATAATCATATCAATTGGCGTGATTTTTTCAGCTAGGCCTATGTCTTCAATTACCATATCAATCGATGTGATTTTATGGTTTGAAGTCGTGTATTGGTCTTGTTCGTCATTGGAGCACTTCTCTGACGAATCATTTTCTAAGTCAATTTGTGGCTCAGAAACTTGAACATTTTCTTCTAGGCCTACCACACTTTCAGTCTCGACCGAAAAAATAGGTGGCCTTTGTTCTTCGGCCGAATTAACAATTTTCTTAGGCCGAATATTGGTTGTGGCCGAAGCGGAAATTTGCCCCCCGGCCTCTTGCCTTTCAGAAATTCTTCCCAAACTCTTGAGGAGTTGTTTTTGCTTATTTAATAGGAGATGGCACTTTTCCCATGAAGCCTGATCGAGATAGATCATGTGAACTTCGTAGTTTTAGCACTAGGTCCCACTGGGCGTGCCAAAATGTTGACCCTAGAAACTACCAAACCTACGTGGCGCGCAGGCCGAGTAATTAATAAGCTAACTACGTCTTTCGGTGAATGCGGGGCGTGCCAACTCGTCGGCCGAGCTCGGCCGAGGAGTAAATTTTGTTGATGTTGCGTTGGGTGCGCGGCTAACTTCTGCGTCTTGCGATTGCGGCTGAGAAAGGAACACGTCTCGGCCTCTTGGGCTCTCGAACCTGAAGACAAGGTTACTATTCTTACGAAGTTCAATATCAAATTCGGCTTTCAATGTGCCGAATGTAATAACTGTAACACCTCACTTTGCCGAGAAGGCTGATGAGATGACCTCGACCAATAAGGATTCAGAAACCCTTCTCGACCGAGACTTGGATAGGTAATTAACCGTCCTCGCCGCAGTGCTGTTGATGCCAACGGAAGATGCTGCGAGACCGGCTGATTCTACGGTGACAGAGCTATCTATGCCGACTTAAGATATCACCGGTTGCTTCCACAGTGCTGTTGATGCCAACAGAAGATGTGTTAGCGAAAAAGAAAGAAAAAAATCTCAAGTTGTTGAGTTTGCGCATGGCAGTTTTGTATTGATTTGCAGGGGTCCTCTTTTACGCTGCACAACCTCATGTATTTATAGTGAAGGTTAAACCCCACCGCTTGGCGCAGCTTGATACTCATGAAGAGTCCTATTTGAATTATATCTTGTGGAATTGCATCCGAACTGTGCGCTGCACTATCCTTTAACCGAGGATCTCTAAGACAAACTAAAGCATATCCTTCAACATAAGCCATAATACCACCGTGAACTTTTAGCCCATTTAAACCACCACCTTCACATGTTAATCCCTGACGCATATACCAAAATGTTTTTCCATATTTTATATACATAATAATCACTTTGCAGCAGACTAAGCAACCAAATTGATCCCACCCACACATTTATACGCGGATCAACTTGGATTCATACGCCAAACATCCAGATCAACTCGAATTGTGCCACCATATTCCCAGCTTGGAGATACATATATCATCTTTCATAATAAATTATTATTAAAAGATAGTTATGATAAAGATCATAACATTATCCTTAAATAATAACAAAATGATCTTTTTACCTTTCCATCTGACGGTTGCGAGCTATGCCTACCTAACGGCCTTGATTGCACGGGCTGATGATGTAAAATCGGGTCCAAACAAGGACATAAATGTTTGCCCCAATAAAAAAGAAATGATGTTTCCTAGCTATACTTCAAAGTATTCCAAAAAAAGGAAAGATGTTTCCTAGCTATATTTTAAGCAAGCTCACATACACAGAACATATCAATTCTACCACGCACATAAGTAAAACAAAAGCATCAGAGCCAATAATAACACGGAATAGAAAACCCATTAACCAATTTATTAACATATTTTTATGTAGATCGCTACCTCTGTATTCTTAATTTATCAAATTGATTAAAATTACTAATTCTCTTATATCTGACAATACCCCTCCCACTCCAGAATGATAAAAAATAAAAATAAAATCTCAATTTCTTATCTCACAAAAAAAAAAGCACATCATTTCCATTTCAGCTCTTAAAACTGAAAGAAAATATCAGGGTTTCTTACCCAAATCCACCAATTTGAACAGTATAATATCGAACCGTTCATTGTTGCTATTTATACTAAAGTATCAGGGTTTTTTGTCATTAATATCGATAAAACTCAATTGCGACCTCTTGAATCATTCATTGTGCATATTGATGTCATTTTAATATAGAACATCTTAGGAATCTAAGCTCATCAAAGCGTATTTCTGACAAATATATATACCAAAGCGACACTTAATTTCACATGATACAACCAAAAAGGGTTAAAGTACAACAATGAAGCAACTTTTCATTCCCAAATGGCCAATTTTATAGGATTCAAGCCATACATGGGAATCAAGAGTATTGAAGCTGTCCGGCATAAAACATAGTTGCTGATTGATGGAAATGGCCAAAATATAAGATAGATAAGAAGAAAGTCCACTCACTTTTTGAAAGTGACTTTCTGCAGTAAAACTTAATCAGCTTAAGGAACAATATTTCATAAGCAGGAAAAGTCATTAACTTTGGAAAGATTGTTCCCTCTTGAAGATACAGCCGATCATTCGTGCACTCATCAAATTCAGCCACCATTGCAATCATGTACCACACCTTTCCTGAAAGATCTCTCCTCCATTTCCAAACGGTTAAAAAATGTATAATTGTACTTATCATGAAAGGCCAAGGAGATTACAATGATTATAGTATGGTGCAAGCAAACCCGATATACTACAACTGATGCATACAATCCAATTAAAATGTTCATGAAAACTGACCACACGATACTTGAAACAACCACAATTAGCCACAAAAGGATTGTCAAACCAGCAATAAGGATGCAAGCTATTTCAAGAAATGGACCTTCTCGAGTAATCAGATCATGAATCAGTTGATACCAGCCTTTAAGCAGCATATAGTGACTCTTTACAACAACAATTATAGTGTAAACAGAATCTCCACAATCAGCCCCAACACGCCAACTATATTACATCCCAGAATGTGAATCAACCTACAATATGTCCCCGAAAAGAATTGAGTTCAGAATAAAACCGCTCTTGTAGGCAGTGTTATTTCAAATGTTTATATTTGGCTATTGCTACATAATTTGATGACAGAAGCAAAACAATTAGAGTCACTAATTACAACACGATTACCTTATGGTTCAATTCAAATGTTTATACTTGGTAAAATCAATCATGAATGACTGCTCGTATGTATCTAAGATCACCAATTAAGCAGAATTACTCAGGACTGACAATATAGGCACCCAAGCATCCCATGACACACTATGACTGAATAACCTGCACAAATATCCCAATAAACCTGCAGATTCGTAGAAATAATAGAAGAGCGTTTGATGTTGAATGTCAAAAATACATAAAGAAAGCTGGTGGACGGATATACATTTCCGAAGAGATTGATATTGCGATCAGATGGGGGTCCATAGAATTCAAGCCATACGTGGGAATCAAGAGGATTGAAGCTGTCAGGCATAAAACATAGTTATTGATTAATAGAAATGGAAGTGTATACAAAATATAAGATGGAAAATAAGAAGAAAGTATACTCACTTTCTGAAAACTGACTTTGAAGGCAAGGACACAACCTGTACATGCTTCTTCATTGAACCCAACCTTTCAACAGAAAGCTAATAAAGGAAAACAGCAGTCTTGTTAATTTCCTCATCGCTTGGACCAAGCATAATATTCTCTTCATTAAATTTAAATAGCAAAATGTCAAATTCATAGATGTCACCTCGAGGCCAATGTTACCTTGAGTACAGAGAGCAAAAGCCCCAAAATCTGAAGGAAAACAAAGGTCTCTCAAGTCTAAAAACAAAACCAAATAATTCGAGGTTAGAAACAAAACCCCCAAAATTACAAAAACGAAATTTGAACACAAAACCTATTTTTAAATCCAAATTTACAGGTCTAAACACATAATATTTACTCCGGCGAAGAACTCACAGAAAACAATACCTTTTATGGGCTAAGTTTTTTTTTCGAATCGACACCAGATTCACTATTTTCAGCAAGAGGACGTTATGGTTTGTAGTTTCAGAGTGAAAGTACTGAAGAAACAATCGTTTTCAGCAAGAAAGTGAAAGAGAGAAGTCGAGGTTTGAGAGCGAGAGAACAGTGAGAGAGAGAGAGACGAACCTTCTTGCATGCTTGAAAGAGAGCTCGGCTTTTCAATCCGTCTTTCCTTCCCGATGAGCAACACGTGTATAGCAGTCGGGGAACCAAATGCAATAGCCTGACTTTTCCATTGTATTCACTCAGCGATGAAAGACACGTAGAACCAAAAGGGCAAAACGGTCATATTACTGTAGAAACGCAACATTAAAACGAAGATGACGAAAAAAATTGAGGGGCATTTTCACCACTCCACTACCAATGAACAGTAACCGGGAGCTTGGGTTTTAGTATATATAAATATGGCTTGATATATATTTTCAGTTTTTCTGAATTTTAATTCTTGACACCAAAAGAAGGGGAGAATAAATTCTAATGAATAGCAGACTTGGTTCAGCCAATAAGAGTTAACTCTTCATTCAAATAAATCAGAGTGTTTTGCTTGTATCAAATATTCTTGTTTCTTTCGTTCATTTGTCTAAGTGAAATTTAGAGAGGTGCGATATAGTTTGTAAACTTATCAGCAACATTATTTGGTATTAGTTTGTAAACTGAATACTAACATTGAGGGATTTTGAGTTGTGAAGGGGAGGGAAGGGTCATAGATTGTGGTTTATGTCACAATGTTACTGAATATGTCTTCTTTGACTCTGGCCATACAATATCTTCTTTGTTTATTCCTTACAATCTCAAAGCCCTATCTGAAACTAATTTTTCTTTGCTAACACAATAGACCAGCCATCAGCATCTCCAAGAGTTATTTTAAAACTTAGCTGGTTCTTTTTTCTTTTCTTTTTTTTTTTGAACAAAAAATATTATTTAAACTAAGAAGTTGGTGGAGTGGGCTAAGTCTCACAATGGGCTAGCAATAATGTGGTTCAAATTCATCTTTGGCAAGAACTCAACCAAAAACATCTCACTTACAAGTGAAAATGAATACCACTATATCGTAGTACTAAGTGGCAAAATTTAGTTGGTTTAGCTAGTGAATAGTGTCAAAGAATTAGTTTATTTATCTAGCTAATTTAACTTTTTTGTCAAAATAAATAAATTTCATTAATTAAAAAGGCTAGTACAAGATAAAAAAAAAAATAAAAAATAAAAAATAAAAAAAAACCTAAAAAGCAGTCCAAAGCAACCAAGTACAAGAAAAACTACAACAATTTAAATACAATAGAAAGTAAGGCTGGTTCAGTATGGGATACCGAACTGAAACCCTTGTTCTGATTCCCAAACCGAAGTTTTCGGGAATCCCAATTTCGATACCGATCCCAAACCAAATTTTCGGGAATCCCGAAATATTTTTGGGATTTCGGGACAAATCGGGAATCCCGAAATAGTTTTGGGCTTTTGGACTAAAACTTGACATATTGGGCTTTTGGGCTAAAATATAACCTTTTGATTATAAAGCCTCAACCTTCCATGTTTCCCCATGAACCAAAAGTTCTCTGCAAGAATGGGAATCCATGTCTTGAGGACAAAAAGTGACTGACAATATGGGGTGGAAGACTAGAAATGGTCTGGAAACCAACTTGGAGGAAGAACAACTTCAAAAAAAATTTGAGATTACTAAAAATGTTAAATGTCGTGAGGAAAATCTGTTCTCCACTTATTATAGCTTACTGCGTATACTACTGTGCAATTCAAAAAAAAACAAAACCCCAAGAAAGGGCATTCCATTCACCCACACATAGATGGCATTACCAAATGTAAACCATATCTATCAGAAAACTCCAGTTATAATGCATTACGATGATGCTTAGACCAAATATGCTGATATACTTGCATATTGAGAAGAGAATAACTTTAAACGTAACATAGTTGGCAATATAACAATTTCCTGACCAAAGGTTTTCTTTGGAGAACTTTTAAGAACCTCAATAGCACTAGTACGAAATGTTAACCAATGCCCACCCTAACAAAGAAGTTATGACAAGTAATCAAATCATGAATGCATTTAACAAAAGAAAAATGAAACAAAATAAAACAACACTTACCTGAGTAGACCCCTGCCTTGCCATGTTCTAGGTGTCATGGTTAAGTTGACTTGAGCACCTTGCCTTACAAGTATTACAGGTATCTCCAAGCTGCAAACCATCCTCTGCTGCTGGTGATGCATCAGATATCTCATCCACCAACGCAAAGGGTACGCTCACAATCACATCCACATCCATGGCATTGGTAGAACCAGTATGAACATTGATTGAGGATGCAGAAGCAACCATGTTGACAACTGATGCGCTTTGGCCATCTGACATCCATCATCACAGAAACATTAGACAAAAATGCAGGTGTCACATATCTTGATAGATACACAGTACAATATATATTTAGCTCCTATCTGAAAAGGCCAATAAATCTCAGAATTCTCACAGTGCACAGGCACTCACTACTCAGTACTCACACAACCAATACATATCAAAACACGAAACAGATTAAACCGTAGAAAATGTAACTTTCCTACCAAAACGATAATATGCATGCCGGGTTTCAAAAACCTACCTGAATCTTTGAGTGATGATTGTTTCGGAGTAAGCCTTGCCGAATGCAGAACTTCTATATTTCGGTTCAATTTCTCGGTAATCTCTTCGTGATCATTTCGCAATTCTGAAATTACAAGCAAGACCACACAGAAATAACAAATACCAACATCAGAACCGCCATTAGAAGCAATAAACAAAGCTCCCCAATTTATTGCGAAATTTGACAAACAGTAATCTAGAATTCGAACCCTAAATTAATTCCAAAATTCACTTGATTTGGGGGAGAATCGGTGCACAGTGCACTGGAATCTGGATGAAGAAGTCGAGAGAGAGATCAGAGAGGTAAGCGGCGCCGGTGGCCGTGGCTCTGCCTCTGTGCCGTGAAGGAAGGCTCCTCCACAGTGAGGGTATGAGGGATGAGATGAGGTCGAGAAAGAGAGTGAGTGACTGAGTGAGGGTGAGGTCGAGGAGGGTGAGATGAGGTCGAGAGAGAGAGTGACTGAGTGAGGCTGTGACTGTGAGGGTGAGGTGAGGTCCAGAGAGAGTGACTGAATCGGACTGTCTGAGTGGACGTTTATTTGGATTTAACGGTAATCAAACCAGACGGTTTACAATTCCAAATATATATTTAAAATTAAATAATATATATATTTATTTATTTCGGTTCGGTTTGGAATTACCGAACTAATGTAAATGTGAGACCGATTTTCCTACCGAAATTTTAAGATTGGTTTGGTATTGGGTATTGAAATTTTCAGGATTTTCGGTTTGGGATTTTTTCGATTCGATTTCAGAATTTTTCGATTCGGTTTGGAATTTTGGGTTTTTTTTTTTCCACCCCTAATAAAAAGATCCAAAAGTAGCCAGACCACTACAAGGAAAACCTAGTTATGAAAGATCGTTGGCTCCGCCAAACAGTTGCACCCCTATCAGAAAGACTAGATGAACCCACAAAATGACTAGATGAACTGGAAATGGGGGTGAATGAGTCACCCACGCAAAAAACGCTACTATGATCCTACTAAATAATAGTGCTAATAACATTTTAACACCACCCAATGCCAAAGTGTGCCCAAGTTGAGTAGTAGAGATTGATAGTTGAAAACTCGTAATGGAAGCAACATCTGAGTAAGAGAGCAGCATGAAAGCTCAAATCTGAGATAAGCTAAAAAAAAATTGAGACAAAAGCTCGATCTGAGCAATGCATTAGCTCGGGAATCCCAAAACGAACTTATTTTTATTTATTTTTTATTTATAAGTTAGGGTTAATTTCACCCGTTGGATTGCTCTAAAATATCTGGCTTATCCGTTTTTGTCGTCTCATCTCTGCCTTCCAGCCCTACTCACTCTCTGTCATTTCATTTTGCCTTTATCATCTCTGCCTCAAATTTGAAGCTCAGCAACCACTCACCCATCCACCCTCTCATAATCCCACTCCAACGAACTATCTCCACTCCGGCCCTCACCATACCTCATAGCTTCATCTTCCGCATGACCACATCATCTTCAAATCTCCATCATCCCTCCATCACACACAGTCACACAGCCAACACACATTCTCTCTCCTGTTTCTCTCTCTTGTGCGATTCTCATTCTAAGACCGTCTGCAATTCTTTCCAATAATTCTCTGTGTGTAGGGGTTTCGAATTGGGGGCCCGGGTTAGGAGGAAGATGTGGGTTTGACTATATTTTCACTATGTCTCTCTCTCTCTCTGTTGACCTTCAATCTTCACTAATTCACTGTTGCTCTATCTTTGATTTTAATTTAGGGTATTAATGCAAGTTCGGATGATTTCAATTTCAATCTGGATGATTTGAATTTTGATGCAAGTCCAGTTCCGGGAAATCCTGAAATTCCGAAAACATTTTAGGAATTCCGAAATTCGGGAATACTAGAATTTCGGTTCAGGATCGGTTGTCGAATTCCGATCCCAAAAATGATCAGCTCGGAATTAGTTATGTCGTTTTCGGTTTGGTATCCCATACCGAACGAGCTCTAATTTTAACAAATTAATCTCACAAAAAAACCAACGCACCTTTTAGGAGAGAGAATGTGAGTTTTAATAGTTTGTTAATATTTTGTTTTTGTTATTTTCTCTCTCCCCTTTTTAAATTTAAAGAGTAACTCTTTATTTTGTTAAGTTAGATTGTCTTCATAAAGATTAATAAATAATCAATTGAGACATTCAAATGATTGCAAGTAACAGAAAAATGCATATACATATACTAAGTATTCATTCATGCAACTTAAACATATTATTGTCATTCAAGTTATGGTGTAATTCCAATCTCATCAACCAAAACACATATTCATGGAATATAAAACAACGCTTTAATAGATTCATGCAAGTCTACTTTAATGCTCAAAACTTTCTAACCATGAACAATATGATTAGATTAACCCAAGAACAACCCCCACTAAGCTTTTAATTTTTTACACTTACTGCAAATAAACTAATGAGTGTGAAACACAATTTTCTTTAACTACTTCTCCCGCTTGGGCAAACACTCATTAATGTGTATTCTTTCACAAGATGTACAAAAATAAAATAGCTTCATATTTTAGACATAATAAAATAGATACCAAAACCAACATAAAGTTTGTCAAACAGAATTTCAGCAATAAGTCACACTTACTTTAGAATTTTTCATAATTAATTCATAAGCTTGATTTCTACCAAAATTATACAGGTCAAACTAGATATTCTAATCTTCATAGAATAAAAGTATAGAGCCATTTTAAGTCAAAATGATAGTCTAAAGTGATGTATCAAAAAGACCAACGCAATCTCTACCAGCAAAACTGTATATACGAGCAAGGGTTACTAGTAAATTCACCATAATTAAAATACATCACAAAAAATTACACAAATTTGCAGATACATATTAGATATTTATATGTTAAACATAAAAAAATTCAGATCATTTGGTGACCATTAGATGTGTCATTCATCCGATTTGAATCAATACATGTAAACTGCCAGAAATACTATGTGCATCTATCATGAATCTATACAACCATAACTAATTCAATCTCATCCAATTTCAATTCGATGCGCGAGGAAACTTAAGTAGTCAAATTTATCCTTTGAATAGAAATCATAGTTCAAATTGAAAAGATTTACAAGCATACTACTTAAACAATGTGTACCTTAGCAATCATTGACTAACCTTCGTGGATCCAATACTTTGCATCAATAAGTCTCATCAGGAGACACAAAAATACATCATGATGCAACCGATTTCCATGCCCTAAAACCAGGACCTATAATGGGGCTCATACTGGAAATATTTGTAACTGAAGATATGGAACTTAATCCCCAATAAACTCCATGAAATTAGATTAATTTACACCTGTGGACAAGAAAATTACCTAGTTTCTAGTACTAGATTATATGTCACAAAAGTACCTTCATGAAAAACTTCAACACTTGTGGGTAGATAAAGCTTTCATAACTCCTGTCAAATAAAACCCATACTTTGCCATCTTAATTAAGCTAAAAGAAACAATCCACACATACAGGCAAGAAGATTATTCTTTTATTCTAATTAAGATGCAACGTTGGTCAAAATAACTCAAAAACATAGTCTCATCATCAACTAAGCCGTTGCGGCTTGCTTAGTTGAAAAGACATTAATCAACTCCACCTTGAAACAAAAGGTAACATGGATTAATCAGCCTTAAGTGACAAAATTATGATGACCTGATTCAAGCTTCGAATCTTGCCAACAAATGTCATTAACTCCTTCATGACTCCCTTTGACATTCAATCAATCTCAAGAAACATGACAGCAAATTTGAAAGAGATTAATCACATATAGAACAAGTTGTATAAGAATCGTAATATCACACTTCCACCACAATAATGTCCATACTTACAAGAGAACATGATGGAGCTAATTGCTTCGAAATTGAAACACTTTATGTAATGTGAAAGAATAATACATTTGCTTTAATTCAAAAGCCAATTTGTGATATCACCTAAATGCTTTCTTAAGTCAAACGAGTTCCTTTTCTTTTGTACGTTTCTTTCCGTAGTACAAAACTACTAAAAGCGTTAATTAGCATTAAAAGCATGCATTAGCTTGGTAAATACCAAATCAACTAAAGCAACAACCAAAATTTTTTTCTTCGGAAGGAAACATCTCAAATACCTGTCATATATTAGTCTTGAATAATTTCTTTTCTTCTTCCATTATGGCACATAAAATTTTGACTGATCAAGCATTGTTTAAATACTTTAGGCATTAGGAAAAACTAACAAACTATAATACAAGTTTGGAAATTCATGCTTATTAATTTGTTAGTTTGTTAGTTTTTCCTAATGCCTAAAGGATTTAAACAATGCCTTTTTCATTCATATTTTCACCACTAGCTTTGGATTAGTATTCCTTACGAAAGAAGACCTTTATTATGTCTAAATAAAAGGGCTATTGCACTAGCTTTGAAGAAGAGCAAAACAATAAGTTGTATGCCACTCAAGGAGTTAAAGTGAGAGAATATAATAAGGGCAAAGTCTGTGCGAGAAAAAAAGAAAAGAGATAATAGTTTAACTCTTGTTATTTCAAGTCTTCGTCAAGTACTAATCCTAAAGGCTTGGAAATATAATTTATTGTACTCATTATTGAAATAGTAAATAGTTGAACCATGTAAATTCTTGGTGTTATCTATCTCGGTTATTTGTTTTCAGTTTCCGAGTTTGTTAAGTTTTTCCGTTCTTGAAAGCATTATTCACAAGTGGTATCAAAGCCTCATTTGGCTGATATCCAATTTAGAATGAAGGGTGCGATTAGCCCTGTGATAAAAGCCACCCGTTCTAACTTGGTGATGTGGAAATCAATAATGAAGGACATGCTTTATTGTAAAGAACTCCATGAACCAATTGAAGGTGTTAAGGACAAGCCATCAAGTATGTCTAATATCGATTGGAGCAAGATGAATTGTAAAACTATTGGTAGGATTAGATAATGGGTGGATGAGAGCATATATCCCCATGTATCTCAAGACTGATATGCAAGCTCTTTGGAAGAAGTTAGATTCTCTCTTTAAGAAGAAAACCGATGCCAAGAAAGTATTCCTTATCAAGAGCTTGTCAACGTGAAGTATGTAGAAGATGTTACTATAATCGAGCCCTAGAACAACTTTCAGAGCATGATCCATTAGTTGGCCACTATGGGTTTGAATATTGAAGTAGAACTTTTAGCACTATTGTTGCTAGGATCCTTGCCAGATGATTAGTAAAACTTTGTTGTAACTGTAAACAATCCAGCTTATAATGGTGTACTATCTATGGATGTTGTTAAGGATAACATGTTCAATGAAGAAATAAGGAGAAAAGCTTCATGTGCAAACATTGGACAAATCTTTATCACAGAGAAAAAGGCAAACATTTTGGTGAGATGATGTTTGGTGGTGACTGCTACTATTGTGGATAAAAGGGTCGATGAAGAAGTATTGTCGTAAATGGAAAAGGAACAAAAGGATGGGATATTTTGTTGGTGTTGTGACTAACGTTGGAGAGCTTCTTTAATGTCGATGAGCGATGGTTTC